GGGAGGGAGGGAGGGAGGGAGGGAGGGAGGGAGGGAGAGAAAGAGAAAAAACCAATTCTCTTTTGTTCTGTGCACAGAGAAATCCAACACATTCTCACCTGTGTTCAGATCAGGCTGCCTTGAATCACCTGACTGATATTTACCAAGAGGAGGAAGTAAGCGAGGGTCTCAAAGAAAATATCATAGTGTGGTGAGCGGCCTCTGAGATGGTCCCACCACCTAGAGGTTTCCCTGGGTGTGGGCTGGGCTCCGGGTTCACTCCTAACACGTGGAATCTGATACAAGGTTCCATCACACAATGCTCTGACTTCTGCCCTGGGGGCTTGCTCCTGCTCTCTTTGGCTTTGCATACCCTATGAGAAGGGGCTACCCTGTGCAGGGACACCCTCCATCCTGCCCATGTGTTAGGGATTGAGGCATGGACAATAGGACTGTGACTGAGCTTGGAGGCTAGCCAGTACATGCCAAACTTTCTGATGAGACCATCACTCTTGCAGTCACATGACCACAGCCCTGTTAGCTCTCTTCTGGAAGGCCAGCTGGCTGGTGCCTGCCCTTCCAACAATGCAGGCGAGTCAATGGTCTCCATGCCTGTGCGTTCATCTGCTCACTTTGGAGACCACACGCTGCCGCAGATGACTAAGACATATAACTTCATTAAGGAGCTGAGGCAAAATCTCCCAGCCAACCTCAGAGTTAGCCTGCATGCCACAGCCTGGGTGGCAGATGAGCACTGGAACAGCAGCAGGGTAGCACATCACTAATGGAGTTCCAAGCCTGGCACTGTCCTGAGATTTTACAATCTTGACCTTGACACATCATGCTTCACTGAGGCAAAAAGATAAGCAAATAGGACCAGAAGCTTTAGTTCACTGAGCGAATGGTGGAACCCTCCCTAGCCACCCCTAGGTCACACTTGGCCCCAAGAGGAAAAGGTCAGCCGATGTCTGAGAGACTTCATCGTGGCCTTTGGGGATGACCCCATCAAGCAAAGATGGCCCAGCCCTAACCTGAGTCTCCAGGGCAGGGTGCTGGGCTGGCCTTGGCCACCCAGGTCGGGGCTCAGTGTTTTTACAAGGTCAAACCTGTTTTTAAAGAAAATCCTATCACTTGTCCTTCATATTCAATGTCAAGAATTTCTGTAAATTACATTATTTTAAACTCATTTCCTCTTGGGCTATTCCAGATGATTTTTAAAAAAATGACAGTCAGGATTGATATGATTATCTATCATCTATCTAATCATCTTCTATCTATCTATCTAATCATCTTCTATCTATCTATCTATCTATCTATCTATCTATCTATCATCTTCTATCTCCCTCTATCCCTCAATCCCTCCTCTTAAAATAAACAAACCCAAACTCCAGAAGGTTCTCAATACCACGTTACACAAGGGGAGGCAGAAAGATGGATGTGGTGGTGGTGGTGTTTTAAAGGTCATTGAAGACGAAGGAGTCTAGTGAGCCAATCAATTTAACCAGACACTTCCCCCTGTCCTTTCAAAGCAGCAGGAATTATGGGTCGCTCTGGAAGAGGGCAGGCACCTCATCCAGCGCCTCTGAGGGACAACAGCAAAGTTGCCTCCGCTCACAGCAGGTCACAGTCCAACAGCAACTACCTGTGAAAGTGCCCCCCATCTTCCTTTCACGCCCCCCCCCATCTTCTCTCTCCCTCCTCTTCTCCCAAAGCCTTGTAATCCAGAAGCAATATCACAGCCTGCTTCTCTGGTGACTGGAGAAAATGGAAAAGTGATTCCCCCCCTCTCCCTCAGCTCTTTAGGGGACATTAGAGCTGGGGAGGCAGTGCAGGGGAAACCTGGCTCCCAGGCTGCAGAATATGGTGTCACCCTGCTCTGATTTAAGGACCTACTTGCTGAACCTCTTGTTGGGGTCACCCCAATTCCTAAACTCCAGCCACCCTCACCAGTGGGAATGTTCACACCCATTATGTCCAACTCCGGTGGTTCGGATTTAAAGATAATAAAAAAAATGAAAAATCTCTGAATCTACTATTCATTTAACACATCAGTGTAGAACTGAAATCCTGGCAGGAAGGGCGATGTTCTGGGTACATCTGTATCTTACGCAGTGCTCAGAGGTGGAAAGCCTTCCCAGGGCTCAGAACCTTTGGGGGAACCCTAGATTGCTCAGATGGCATCTCTGCTCCATAAAGGTCTGGCCCTAGTACGCCTTCCATTCCCAGCTCCTTCTCTGGAGCCAAGGCCCTTCTCCAGCCCTGGGTGTCCTCTCTAGATACAGTTCCACGCTCTTCTCATGGGTCCCCCGATTGCCGTGGGGTCACCCCTCCGTCCCCGAGTGCTTTTCTGTGTCACTACTCTGTGTGCATTGCATCATTCCCTTGCTCTTGCATGTTTGCCTGCTTCCCCCTGCTGTGGACTCTCGGCCACATTCCTCTCCCTGGATCCTGGGCCGTGTGCGAGCTTTTCTGAACTTCGGTGTCCCTTTCCTGGGGCCCCATCCCCAACCCCTTAAAGGTACCAATGACTCCTGCTCCTCCTAAGGAGTGCTGTGTGTATCCATGAAGCTGGCCTGCCAGCAGTCAGCCTGTGGTTTCCAGTCTCCAAAGCTTTGGAATCAGACTCGCTGCTTGCTTCCTTGCACACTGGGGAGCCACTGGGGCTCCGGGGCTTACTCGGAAGTGAGGAGAACTGAGTGTCTTAGTTATCGTTGCTATGAAGAGACACCATGACCACAGCAACTCTTATAAAGGAACACATTTCAATGGGGCTGGCTTACATTCAGAGGTTTGGGTCATTGTCATCATGGCAGGAAGTATGGCGGTGCACAAACAGACATGGCGCTGGAGAGGTAGCTGAGAGTCCTATATCCAGATCAGCAGGCAGCAGAAAGTATGACAGACACTGGGTCTGGCTTGAGCATTTGAAACCCCAAAGCCTACCCCTAGTGACACACTTCCTCCAACAAGGCCACACCTCCTAACTCCACTCCCTGGTGGCCAAGCATTCAAGTCTCTGAGCCTGTGGGGGGCATTCTTATTCAAACCACCACAGTGTGTAAGGATGAGAAATGGCACGGATGGCCTGCATAAAGCCATGGGGATCAGGGTCACATTGCTCCCTGATAGAGCAGGAAGCTGATAGGGCCTCAGAGCCCCCTACCACAGAGACTCTTGACTTATGGAAAATCCATCACATTCAGAACAGAAAGGCCACCAAAGCCACCTGGAACATCCAGAAGATCACTAACTGCCTTCCAAGTACAAGATGTCAGGGACATGGTGGCTTCCTACCTCACCCATGGTTTGAGTCACCCAGGGGCAATGTGGTCTGGAGACGTTAAATGGAACATTCCAAAGCTACATAGAAAGTTTAAATACTTAAATAGATTACTGTAGATCATGACTCTGACTCCTCTTTACTATTCACCTCTCACTGTTCTTATATACAAGTTAGACTCTTAGGTCGGAACACAAAACCAGCACACAGTACACTGATGTTACCCACTGAGTCAGGTACTCTTGGGATGCCTTGGAACATGTACCCCATGGACCAAGGGGGAACCTCTATACTAGAATTTTCATTTTTCTTTGGAAAACATATTTGAACACAAATGCAAATGTGCTTTGCACGCTCAGGCCCCTCCCATTCTCTGTGGTCACAGCACAGTAGTCTAAACATAACGGATTGTGTACGTGTGCTGCCCAAACCAACTGTGCCATGAGCAGGCCCCCTGTCTAGCTGTGGGCCATCATTACAAACGCAAAACGTCACCTCCGCGTTCTCATGTCAACTTCGGGGGCCTTTTCCACCCTGGGGCCCAAACACACTTGTTTCCATTGCACTGTCTGAAGGCTGTTGGTGACGTGCAGTCACGAATGTGGTACAGGCTCTGTGTGTTAAAGACGACAAAAGCCAACCAGCGAGACCCAGTTAGAAAAGCAAGGAGGCTGCATGCAAGAAGTAAAGAGGGAAACAGAATTTAGAATAATTCCAAATTCTGCTCTTGAAACTTTGCCACTCAGAGACTCAACATTCTTGCGCCTGGAGCAATTCAAAATCTGCCTGTGAGCTAAGCAATTAAGACTAGGAATTGGGGCCAAACTAGACAAGTTCCAGTCCAAATCCCAATACAGCTGGGTGGCCCGGAGCAGACTGCAGAAACTCTCTCTAATTATTATTATTTTTTGGGAGAGTACTATATATCCACTCATAAATGCTTCTATAAGGGTTAAAAAATAAATTAACAGTAAAACTTAAGTGGCATGTGGTGCAGTTGAGGACATCCTGCTATAGCTCATGAGATGTTAATCCTGATTCTAAGCAAGAAGTCCATGCATCACGACGGTTAATACTGTCCAGTTGGCTGGTTGTAGGTGAACCAGCACCGATGAGACACGCTTCCGGGCACACCTGTGAGTCATTACCCAGATTAGATAACTGAGGTGGAATGACCCACCGTGACTGTGGCTAGTAACGTTCCAGGGCCCAGGGCCCCAGGATGAATTAGAGGTGGACACTGATCAAACAAGCTGAGCTCGAGCATTCATCATCTTTCGGCTTCTTGACTGCAGAGGAAATGCGACTGACCAGATGCCCTTAGCTCTTGCTGCCAGCCTTCCCACCGGAGTGGACTCTGCCCGTAGACCAGCCCAAACCAGTCTTTACCTCCTCCAGTCGCTCTAGCCTGGCAATTTGTCGCAGCAAGGAGAAAAATAACCAAGACGAGCAGCTTTTGAGATCATCTCATACTATAAAAACCAATAATCATAATCACACACAAAAAAAATAAAAACGCCTTGCCAAAGCTGGGCATGGTAGCTCATACATCTAATCCCGACTCTGGGATTCTTGAACAGCCTGGGCTCCGTGGCAAGATCCTATCTCACTTCTGCCCCCCCTAAATAAAAACAACAACAAAGCCTGCTGATTCTAGAAGTTCTGAGTGACTGAGAGCAAATGGCAAGTTGCTTGGCAGACTCGGAGAAAAGCATGATGGGAAAAGGCACAGCCCACTTACCCCCAGGATCCCAAGGCGCTCAGCCAGGCTCCAGCCGCAGAGAAAGTCAATCTCAAACTTGTGGTTGAGAACCACGATGGCGTTTTCCTTCCCGTAGTGGGGGGAGGACCTCGGATCGGTGTAGATGGTGCACTCGGTGCCTGACCACCACTCCAGAAGCATCACCAATTCTGCAACAAACCAGAGGACACACACATATTTACTCCACTGTCCTGGGGTCCTAGGTCTGCTGTTCTTGGGCCATGCTCTAAGACAAAGCTGCTGCTAAGGCTAATGTTGCAGAGCATTTCAGCCAAGACCCCAGATGTTGAAAGGGTTTCAGAGCAGAAGGGTTATAAATAAGCAAGACCCGGCAACAGTCTTCAGGAAAGGAGAGGAAACTTCCGGGTGGCCAGTCCTTTATACCTCTTGATGAAGTAACTTGGGAGAAATAATATCAGAGTCTGGATCCACCCACATCCATGTCCTGGTGCTGACAGCACAAGATGTATGTTCTAGAAAATGACTGGCTGATAGGCTTCTAAACTCCATCAAAGAACACTCTGGACCCAACTCATTCTTTCCTACTGATGACACATATTGGCATCAAGAATGACCAGCAACCATGGTGGAGGAAAACACAAGTTTCTCCATTTCAGTGACTCAGAGTTGTCATGCTGTAGGCTTGACAAAATTATTACCATATTCTTTGGAGGGGCTTATGAAAATTAAGACTTGCTTTCAGGTGACAATCTGACTGTGTTCTTGGGTGATGCCTTTATTCTAGGCGGCCAGTTTTCTGAGGCTGGTGGCCTCAGGAAAAGACTGTGTGGTGGACACTCTAGACACGGAGTTGAACGTAAATGACAACACAGCCCCTTGAAGTGAACCTTTAGAGTGAGAGGTGTTGGCAGGTGGGTTGTGTGCTATATGAATTCTTTATGAAGGTTGCACCCTTGTTTATACTGCTTAGTGGGGTACATGGTGTAGAGGGCTCCCACACCCTACATGCACACAAAGACAACTGGGTCTGACTTCGATTGCCCTGGAAACACCTTTCTCTTCCAGATTGGAGGCTGAATATGGAACACTAGAACCATCTAGAAGGCCCCATATTCTTGTTTCTGAGCAGTGACACTGTGGGCTTTCCATAAGCTAACCCCATGGTGCTGTGGGATGGTCCTTCTGTATGCTGTGAATGTGTGTTGCTCCCATTGGTTGATAATAAAGCTGTTTTGGCCTATGGCAAGTCAGGATAAGGTTAGGCAGTACAATCAAACTGAGAACTGGGATGAAGAAGGGCGGAATCAGGAAGCTGCCCAAGGAACAAGATATCAGAGGACCAGTAAGCCACAGACTATGGGGCAATAAATAGATTACTAGAAATGGATTAATTTAAATGTAAGAGCTAGTTAGTAATAAGCCACTGGCCAAGCATTTATAATTAATATAATCCTCTGTGTGGTAATTTGGGAAGTGGCTGCTGGGTATTTGGGATTGGGCCAGATGAGACAAAAAGCTCCGCCTCTGCTTACACCATGGCTGTGTCTTTGTTTTTGGAGTGTGTATACTTCAGGGGGTCTTATAAAAATTGCTGGTAGTCAGAATCACTCCGGTTCCCTTTTAGGAAGGCCACCTGGGACGTGTCAGGGGCTGTCAGGTAAAGAGAATATCACCGATCCTGCTGACCTCCATGATATACCTTTGATCATTGCCGAGGCATGCCCCCATTCCCTGAGGCTGAGTCACCTGAGTGGGGACTTGCTGTCCTCAAGTCCACTAACAGAAAAGGTAGAGAGAAGACTAAACAGAGATACTGTGCCATAGAGAACCCCCTTGTCACCTCAGGTCATCCCCAGGGACCAAGTCTACTGAAATGACTTAGACATTTCTCCCCTGCTCAGTCTGTGAGTCTGGCATTTCAAATGACACCAACAGCCACCAAGTCCCCTGGACTGTAGATATTTGGTCTCTCTGGGCCTTTGTCCTATTTATGCAGGTCAAAAGCCTGACTCTACCATAACTGTAGACAAGGGAGCCTGTGGTGATATTGTGTTCCCCAAAATATTGTGCACCCTAATAAACTTATCTGGGGTCAGAGAACAGAACAGCCACTAGATATAGAGGCCAGAAAATGGTGGCACACACGCCTTTAATCCTAGCATTCCGAAGGCAGAGATCTGTCCAGCTCTCTGTGAGTTCAAAGCCACATGGAAACAGCCAGGCATGGTGACTTGTTGTGGGATGGTCTATATGTCAAATGCTCTGATTGGTCAATAAATAAAACACTGATTGGCCAGTGTCCAGGCAGGAAGTATAGGCAGGACTAACAGAGAGGAGAATTGAGAGAACAGGAAGGTGGGGGAAGACACTGCCAGTCACTGCCATGACAAGCAGCATGTGAAGATGTCGGTAAGCCACGAGCCACATGGCAAGGTATAGATTTATAGAAATGGATTAATTTAAGATATAAGAACAGTTAGCAAGAAGCCTGAGCCATTAGGCCAAACAGTTTAAATAATATAAGCATCTGTGTGTTTATTTTATAAGTGGGCTGTCGGACTGCCGGGGCTTGGTGGAACCAGAGAGAAAACTCTCCAGCTACGGTGACTCACACCTTTAATCCCAGGAAGTGATGGCAGAAAGCAGAAAGGTATATAAGATATGGGGACCAGGAACTAGAGTGGTTAAGCTTTTAGCAGCAGTTCAGCTGAGATCCATTTGGATGAGGACTCAGAGGCTTCCAGTTTGAGGAAACAGGATCAGCTGAGGAATTGGTGAGGCGAGGTAGCTGTGGCTTGTTCTGTCTCTCTGATCTTCCAGCGTTCACCCCAACACCTGGCTTCAGGTGTTTTATTAATAAAACCCTCTAACAATTCGTGCTACAGGAGCCATCTGACATGTTCCCATGGGCCTGTGGGTAGGTTGGAGCCCTACATGTGGGTGAGGCTCATGGCTCATCATAGCCAGGCATGGGACAATGTCAGGTGGGTCACACACAGGTGAGTGTGACCATCTTACTTCACCTTCTTCAGATCCTCAGGGCTGGCTCTTCTGAGACTTTCTGGCTAGACACTTTGTGTGAGTCATCCACTGTCCTTCCAATAAATCCCATTTGAGGAGACTAGAGGCAGAATTTCTTGATACTTCCAGCACTTAGAAACTGTTTTTGCTGGAAAATTCTGTCTCAGATGGCAACTAAAAGCGGGATAAAAGCCTGGCGCCGGAGCCTTCATTCGGTGTCTGCCTTGTCTTAAATTGTTGGGACAGACCTGCCTAACCCTGCAGGTAGGCTTGCCCATCGCTGAAGGGGTATCTGTCCAAATACAACATATTTGGGCATCAGCTATCTCATCCCTTCAAGCATGAGGAGATGGAGAAGACTGATATGTCACTATCACGGGTCACAGTATCCTGCACAGCTCCCACTTCCAAAGTGCCTGCCAGTCTCTAGCTAGTGTCTAACCCTGCAGCCACCTTGGATTCCAGGAGCACAGAGCCGTATAGATCACTCCCTGACCCCAAGCAGGAGCACTCATTTCATGGGAATGGGATTGTCCCATGCAATGGGGCCTCCCTCTCCAGGTCCACCTGAGATGCAGAACCAACGGAGAGGCTGAGCCAAGACCACAGTCTGATCGAGGTTGCTTAATTTATGCAGACCTCAGGCTCCCGCCCCAGTTCTTCCTGCTTAATGCCTGCGGCTCCTGCTGGTACCCCAGATGGGCCGAAATGATGACAAGTAGCCTCTCCTACCCTTTCAACATCACTTCAGTTCGCTTCCTCTGAGACAAGACTAAACTTGAGATAGTGGGGCTCCCAGGGTTGTGCCTCCTGACCAGGACTTGGATTACTGTACAAGGAAAGAACTCTCCCATCATACGTGCAGGAACCTGGGTTCCATCTCCTTCTTCCTTCCTCCTCTTGGATACTGTCCTTCCCTCTGGATTCTGTGGCCTGGATCATTCCATCACAACATCGCCCCAGGACAAGAATGTACTGTGCTCTGCAGCAGCCCAGTGGATGACGTGACCAAAGCCGCAGCCTGGTGTTCACTATCAAGAGCCTCCAGGCAGCCTGAGCCTCCCTGGCCACAAGCATAAGCTCTGGAGGGGGCCGAAGCATCGGGACACACATGCAGCCCAGGCGGCCACCTGTAACAGTACCTCCATCCTTGGGAGTTCTCCCAGATTACTAGGAAACAAGACGCAGGCCTTGTTTCGAAGCCCCCCACTTCTCTCCACAAGCCACTTGCTCCTCAATTTGGAATGATCAACACAGAAAGGTCGGCACTTGTGAGCTCAGAGGGTGGGGGAAGGCGCACACAGAGCGGGAAGGACAGGGAAGCGTCTGGGGGTCTCTTAGCCGTCAGATGCAGTTCTCACAGCCCCATTTCTCCTGTTTCAGTCTGCCCAGTGCTGCCTGCCCACATCAGCTCTCTCTAGGCTGTTCCCTGGAACAGAGAGTGACAGCTGTCCCTTCTCAGAACAACTGCACCTGTGTCCCGCCCTGGCCCTGATTCCTGGCACTATGTATTCTTCAAACTCCTGGAGTGGTCCTTGGACACTTGGTGCCAGGAAGGGGCGTGGTCACAGGAAGTGACGTCACTGGGAAAAAATCCTAAACTACTGCTTTTAGGGGTTAGTTGAAAGGTAAAGCCTTTCAACTCTGGCTGCAGATGTCTTGCCTGCCTTATGGGTTTGGTTTTATGTTTGCTCTTGTGCCTTTCAGCTTAAAGAAATTATGGGGAGGGGAAAGAAGACACAAGGGAAGGGAGGCAGGCATGACATCCTAGAAGAGTAATTTTGTAAATGAGGATGTTGAATGGCAGAGAGGGGAGACGATGGCCTAGAAGATGCGATGACGTAGAAGATGTGGGTGTACCAAGGCTGAACCCAGGAGGTGCCCGGTGTGAACCTGAGATGCTGAACACCTAAAAGCCATGGCTGTGTAAAAGAGGAGTCAAGAGGAGGCAGGGTAAGAGCAGGACCAGCAGGGAGGGGACGCACCTTGACCTTGAGCAAACCTGTACTCAACTTCTCTACAACATAAAGGTGAAAATACACACCCCAAAGGCTGGTTATCTGCTGACAATCCACACAGCATCAGCATCTGCTGCCACCGTGGGGCTTTCTCCTCGGCACTATTACTGATGACCACGGAGTGAACACAAAAGAAATAAGCCGCAGGG